TTTTTCTTTTTGCGTCTTTTTTGCTTGCAGGGATTATCATTACTACCGCACAGGAGGCTACACTACTGAGAAGCAGGATTACCCCACGACAAGGCGGCAGTGCCGTGCAGCGCGCACTAGCCGTACTGCAGACCATCGGCACGATTTCTAAAGTAGACAATACTGCTCTTGCTCGTTTACTACTGTTTCTCAAACATGACTAATCCACCACCGTTTGACTGCACTTCAAAGTGGTGCAATTACACAAATGACTGGTCAGGATGTGATTTCTTGCAAAAGGGATTTTTTTCTCAAGATTACATCATGCGAGATTACCTGTTAGTAAAAACATAGTGGTGTTTGTTCTACAGTTTGCAAAGGCAAAAATACCTGTTGTAGAGTAGGACATCGGGTCTCCATATCTGATTTTCGCCTCCGGCAAATCGCACGCTGGTCACATTTTCGTACTTCAAACGATCCCATGCTAACCGATAGTCTATCCAAATCTGAGGTATATTTTCAGTCTGATTCAGACAGAGCAACAGTCATGACACGTACAAATTTCAACCATGCATTGAGCTCGATAATCTGATTTTTCCCATCCTAGAACTAATCTCATTGTCAAATCGAGTGGCCTTTAACACTACAGAGAACTGACCAGACCAACAATTTGTTGCAGAAATACTTTCATTTCAACCTTCAAGCTATCTTTGGGATTCCTCACGGGCCTGACAAGTTTATTGTAGTTGTTGAGTAGATCCCTGTATAATTCACGAATATGCAAAACGCCACAGCCTAAGCGAATGACTCACCTATAGAGCCTACCTTCGGCCTTACTAGCGAATGCATAGTGCCAGACCCAGATCAAATGGAGTACGATGTAGCCGCGCATCAATGTCGAAGGCGAAATAATGAGACGAAACACTCGAATTTGTTTACTCTCGGTTTCATCGCTGGATCGGTGTGCCCGAGCAAACTTTATCAAGCGTTTCATTATTGCCGCGTACTCACACTAGCACAAGTAAATTTTACTTTTCATTGAAGTTTTCGAACATAATTGTTCAAAGCATGAAGCGAACTTGAAACACCATATATGCAGTGCGTTGGATTTTCTCTTTGAGAAACGTGTCAATTATTCGATGAAAAAGCGTAGTTTGCCAATTTTCTAGGAGTGCTTTGCAGAGATAGATTTTATTGATACCTAAAAAATTCCATTCATTTAGATGGTACTTCGTCGATCTATAACCAAGCGGACCAAATTTATTTGCACTATACCCAATAATTATTGTGTTTGGGCAACAAAGGAAGATCTGTCACAAAAAA